ACAAATGTAGTGATCCGAAGGAGCACCTGCACCCCAATGTTTATAGCAGCAATGTCCACAATAGCCAAACTATGGAAAGAGCCAAGATGTCCATCAACAGATGAATGGATAAAGAAGATGTCGTATATATATACAGTGGTATATTATGCAGTCATCAAAAAACCTCCGAAATCTTGCCATTTGCAACGATGTGGATGGAACTAGGGGGTATTATGCTAAGCAAAATAAGTCAATCAGAGAAAGACATGTATCATATGATCTCCCTGATATGAGGAATTCTTAATCTCAGGAAACAAACTGAGGGTTGCTGGAGTGGTGGGGGGCTGATAGGAGGATTACTGATTTGCTTGAGATTATAGTTTTCTTTCCTTTTCTGTGAACATTGTCAGTTAATATGCTAACAAAAAATCATAATTTTATGCTTTTTTATTATCGAATTCATAGTACTAAAATCTTTCTAAAGGTATATGAGGACAAGCTAGAAGGTAGAGTGTATCTTCTTAAATCATATGATAAACATATTAATAACAAATAATTTATTTTTAATTCTATCAGAAAGCTAAAACAAGGTTCACTTTTTCTTTCTTGTCAGGCATGCCCATTTATCATCAATATCTATGCAGACAAATGCAAGCCAAGAATTAAAGCTGTCCATATGGAGGCATGCAGTGGGCAACTTGAGAAGGCCATTTGTAAATCCGTTCTTAACAAAGGCGATGCCAGGGTAATGGATGGCTATGAAAATATAATTGTACATACGTATAAGCGTGACACCTGGATAACATCAGTTATTGAAAACAAGGTATTATTTATGAGGTGGTTCTCCTCATAACTGCATTGTTTACTAATATGTTCCATCTTCTTTCTTACTCTATTCTTGCACAGTAATTAATATCACATTATATTAATATTTATAATGGGCAATTCTTTCTTAGGTTTCTAATTCAAACTGAGCATGATAATTTTTATGCATTTTTTTAAAAGTTTGAGATAATTGTATTATGAAAATTAAATATTTGGGGATCTCTGAAGATAGAGCATAATCTGGGTACAAAGTATCTTATTTAGTTTGTTATTAAAAATCTTCACACATACATAACTATTTCAAATAACAGACATTGGGTTTTAAAGAACTATAAATAAAGTAAAGAAAAAATTTAGCCCAACTTTTTCCACACTTTGAAATATTAGAAATTCTGTAGACTGTCATCATTTTATCTAATATATTCCACTGCCCAGGACCTATTTTTATCAAGCCACTTATTGCTAACTTTAGCTACCATCCCTGCTACTACTGATATTGCAGGCCAAGAGAATACATACATAAATGCTTAGAGATACCCAGCTTTCTAGAAACATAAATTTTCAAAAAAATCTTACTCAGGATGGCTGGATTTTTAGGACTGTTGGCTTATTTCTTTTAGTTCCTGGGTGAGACTTACATTATTTTTATGCTTACCATGAATTTCTTAAAGTGCTAAGGTTTGGCTGAGTATTGAGTCAATGTGAGTATATACTATGTAACTAACTCTCCTAGTCACAATAGAGGCCACTATCAGTGTAATATGGTCTCTGCTTTCAAGGAGTTTATGGACTAGTTGGGAAGACAGAATTAATACTCTCAAAAGAGATCAGAGAATAATTAAATGTTAAATTATATAGTACTGTTGATTTGTGCATTAGTTTTACTGTATTTGCATCTCTTGTGGTTGATGTTAGTTTGGACAATAGAAGTTGGGGAAGGACTTGGGAATGAGGGGAAGGGGACTGTGGTATGGGATTGGAGACAAACTAGGATTGGATATGCAGAGACATGGGCACCTCGGTGGCTCAGTCGTTAAGCGTCTGCCTTCGGCTCAGGTCATGATCCCATGGTCCTGGGATTGAGCCCCACGTCAGGTTCCCTGCTCGGCAGGAAGCCTGCTTCTCCCTCTCCCACTCCCCCTGCTTGTGTTCCCTCTCTCGCTGTGTCTCTCTCTGTCAAATAAATAATAAAATCTTAAAAAAAAAAGATATGCAGAGATAGCCGTTAGAAGCAGAGAAACAGTAACATGTAAGAGGGTTAATGTGAAGAATAGAGGAAATAGTGGGAATATCCTCTATGCAGAAACAGAGAACTTTATTTGGAGGAGTACTACAAAGATAAATAACATAGGTGGTATGGGTCCAGATTATATATATTATCTTGAAAATGAGGTAGAGGACTTGGACTTGATAAAAACAGTTAGAGTTCCCAGCTAGGAGATTCCAGTCTTCAAGTGGATCATAAAGCTTTGGAGGGTGATTCCTAAGATCCAGCATGCCTTCCCTTCTGCCCTCTATGTCTTATTAGAACTAAAAGGGTGGATGGGAGTCACTAACTTACCACGGTTTCTCTGTTCTGTAGTTAGCTATCATTTCTCAACCCTCCATCTCTTTCCTTTCCCTCAAGGAAAATTAAACTGCTCTGCACCAAAATGATGTAATAATAATATTTTAGAGTTTCCCATTTGTCAGGCACTTTACATTTATTAACGCATTTACTTCTCACAACAACCCAATGAGGTAAGTACTAACCGCATTTTACACACAAAGAAATTGAAGCATGGGGACGCTAAATAACTTGCAGAAGGTCACATGCTGAGTAGTAGACCTGAGAAATGAATCCAGGCAGTCTAATGTTATACTGCCCAATTTGTAGTCATTAGGGAGTGCTTGTAGCTTTCTTAGCAGGGGAATACTTTGGCGCCTACATTTCTTTCATTCACCAGCTTCATTCTGCTTTCTCTTGCTTCCTATCCATTTTAGAGGCTATCTATTATCTATGATCTATTATCTCAAGTATTGGTTCTTCCATAAGGTCTTCCTTGCTAACCCAGTCTGAGCTAATGTTTCTGTGTTTCTATAATATCTTCTATGTTTCTGCAGACCCTGTGAATACCTCTATCACAAGACTTATAAAATGTTTTGTAATAATCATTTTATTTGTATTTATTAAAGGACTAGCAACTTATGAAATTTTTTTTATAGTCAGATAATAAAGTGATTATTCACATCAACAATGAGCTAAGTAAAAACTGCATAAACAACAGAGGACTGAACATATTTGCAGTAGAAGTGGCACCAAAATCTACAATGGTAATGTATTGTTTTCTAATTAAAGCTTTTTGTTTTATCAATTTGAAAAAACATTTCACTAATAACAGTATGAATAAGTGGAAATATGAAATAAAGTAGAAAATTATTCTAAGTATGATATTCATATTATTATCATCCTATATTAGGAGATTTTGGTTCTAGTCCAGTTCTCACTATTTGGTTGAGTGATTATGAGAGATTCACTTAGCCACTCTGTTCCTGTCTCTTATGTAAAATTAATATACTATTACTAGTGTTAGGTAGTTCACAAGGTTAATGTAAAGATAAAAATAAAATGATGTATATGAAAGCACTTTGCAACATCATATAGAAAGACAAAGTAGTGTTTATAGTAAATGGGAATTTTGCTAATCCAAAATATTTTTATCTACATTATTAAGATTTTCCAATGTAACCTGAAAGAGAAAATGCCTCTAAGTTTTAGATAACAACCATCTAAGTCAAGAGCCAGGAACAGCTGTAGTTTCTGGTGTTAGCAGAACTGTGGGTTTCTATTTAGCCTGGGGCTCAAAGGCAGGGACCCTGAAACTGGTCTAGTGAACGGAAAAAGGAAAAAGCCTCCTATTCTTTTCTTCATTCTGTCCATGAAATCCTAAAACATTCTAGAACTGAATAAAGAGGAGAGATTCTACAGAATCCCAATGAGGATTTTAGAACATTCTCTAGGTTTAGCGAAAAAAGGGTATTTACTCCCCTTTCCACTACTCCCTTTTCTACTACTCCTACCCCACATTTATATACACCAAATATCAGCTACTATATTTGAGTAGAATTTATGCCAGATTATTCTGTTAGACATCAGATCATAGATTGTAGATGCCCACTAAGGACAAATGGTATAGAATTTTATCTGCACAGGGATATTTTTGCATAGGGTCTAGAAATGTTATCCTGTTTAAAAATTAGCCAGAAATAAAATATATGAAAGGAAAATAAAAGTTTTCTATTTTTATATGCAGGTTTGTCAACATGTAATGCCTCTGAATGAACGACAAGAATGGATATATTATTGTGTGTATTCCCTTATATCTTAAATACTGTTTTCTACTTGAGCCTGTCAAACTAAGAATTCTTTCAGGTTTAGTCTGTTATTTGTTGATAAACTAAATGCTAATCAATTTAACTGATGTACATAAACAATAATCAATTTATATGTGTTTATATTTTATACCCATGTTATATACTTTATTATTAAAATATAAATATAAAATAGAAATAATATAATAATGTTTTTAATGTGTGGCTTTCTTATTAATTTAATGGGAAATCTGGGCATATTTCATTTACCAATAGTAAATAAAAATAAATTACAGGTAAGCTTTTAAAAACTAGTATTCTATGAATTCTACAAAATCCTGTATACTTTTAGTTTAATCTTACTCATAAAAAATAAACTCAAAGAAAATGAAAATAGGCCAGCTGCAGCTAGTGTCTTGGGCTCTCACCCTGTCTTCTCACTGTTCTGTCCCAGGAGCGTGACAGGTCACAGACTCCCATCCATGCCACTGTGGTCACAGGCATGTGGCTGTGGGAGGACCAGGGGGCCTCCTGGGCCCCTTCTCTTTGCTGCGGCTGCTGCTGCTGATGATGTATAGCCCCTTCAAAACTTGCCTTTCCACCAGCAGCCTCTACCTCCTGCTGCACCTCTTCAGCTTTGGCTGATGCTTCCTCCTCCAACCCCTTCTGGGCCTGTAGGTATTCAAGCCCTGGAAGCTGTTATACCATCGTCCATACTGGCGGCCATTTGGCAGGCAGGTACGATTGGAGCAATGGGTCTGGAGTTGGATGTTGAATTTACTTCTGAGGGGATTCTTGTCTTAATGCACCATAGCACAGTAGACATGACAACTGATGGTAGTGGTTGATGAGTGATTTGATATTTGAACAAATGAGAAAACTTAATCTGCAGCAAATCACAGATTCAGGAATGATTTCCCTGATGAGAGGATCTATAACCTGAACCATAATCTCACAATCTTCTTAGATGTCAAAGGCCATGCAAATATAATACTGGTGCTCTAAAGAAAATGTATATGCAGTTTCTTCAACTATACAGTCTGCTCTGGTATCCTCTGCCCTTTCTTGCCAAAAGTGATCTATAAGATGAGACAGGACAGAATGTAATATAATGGCATTAACTCACAGAACTTGGAGCCTTAGCCATCCAGGAGATGGGAAAGTACACTATAATGCATGTGTTTCAGTCCATGTTAGTGGCAATAGACATTTTGCTGGACTAGAGCATGCATAGTATCTTGTGGTACCTGTATGGAATTTCAGCTTTCCTCATGCAAAAGCATGTTGTATCCCTAGACTACTCAAAGAAGTAGTTAGCTAAAGGCATTCAAGTTGTTGCTGGGAAAAAATTTTCCCTTCTTTCTTTTGTTACTGAACTTAAACTTGTCCAAGCACCTGATACACAGTAAGCCAATGTCTGAGACCCCAGTTTTTAAGCAAAGGGAGCTTTATTATCAGAAGAGCAGCTGAAGAAGAAGGCAGGAGATCATTCCCAAAGCTGCCTTACCCTTTTGAGCCTAGGGACAGTTTATATATATGAAGGAGGTGAATACATGAGAGGAGGGTGAAGAGTTTCTTGAACCATGAAGTGAGAGGCCTTAAAAGAATCTGGAGGTATGCATTCTTCCAGACAATGAGGTGCCGTTTGGAACCTGGTATGATCAGATACATCAGATAATTTCAAGACAGATGTTACCATCTGGTCCCCATTAGGTTTCTACAGTCAGTGGGTAAACAGGGAATAGGGGCAAAAAAGGCAAAGTTAGTGATTTATTGTGTATGAAGTTAAGAGATGCATAAAACATAAGTAGGGCATAAGGTAGAATGTGAAGCTAAGTTAATAATGCAACTAATACAACCATAGTTCTGCCTCTGCTTTCAAAACAGGTCCAGGAACCAAGTATCTGGCCTCACTTTCTAGATTCATTGGCTGGTCTAATAATCAAATAGACATAAGACATTAACAGGAGAAAAAGAAATTTCATTATGTACATATGGGAGCCCGACAAATACATGAGACTCACAGGCAGTCAACCAGTTGAGGCTTATATACCATCCTGAGCAGAGGAGAGAGTATAGGAGTCTGGGGCTTTAAAGGGGAAGAAGACAATTCACAGGAAGATGAGAAGAGTGACTGTTTGGTAAACAAATGTTTGCCATGCCATGCAGGTAAGTCTTTCTGATATAAAAAATTATCTCTAGTAATAGCTCTCTTCCTGGTACAGGCTATCTAAATTCTTTTTGGCAGTTCAGGGAGAGGTAATAAGCTTTTCCCAAGTCAGTTGGGTCTTAAGTGCCTTCAACTCAAAACAATCCACATGTTAAAGTGGCACATTTTGGGGTGGCATATTCTGCTACTTCTCAATACCTTTGATCAAAATGTGGCTATGAGTCCCATCTTGGTTCCAGCTGTATCACTGATAGCAACCTGAGATCATGCCCTGTCCCTAAATCAAGAGTCAGATGCTTAACCTACTGAGCCACACAGGTGCCCTGTAATTTTAAAGTCTTCTGATATTCTTCAGATTTTCTTCCCACCTCTGACACTTCTTTTCACCCACACTTCTGTGGCTTCCCCCAGTTTCCACGTTGTCTCTTACCTCAGGCCCTTCGGATGCCGTGTTTCTTTCTATAGAATAATAATTGTCTCTCTACTCCCTCTTTTTCCTTCAGGTCTCAGTGAATATGTCACTTTTTCTAAGAATCCTTCCCGATTAAGCCCCTACCAAGACTACTTTGGTGGCCCTAAAAACTCATGCTTATTCTTTGTTGTAGCACTCATCATACTGTACAGGAAATACTGTTTAGTTTTACCTGAAAAGGTAAAAGGCTGAAAGCAGGGACAGTTATAATTCCAGTATATACCATAGAACCACTATCTCTCTTTCTGTCAACTAAATAAAATCTTTAAAAATAAATAAATAAAGCCAGAAGCCGCCTTTTAGATCTATTTTTGGTATAGGGAGAATATGATACAGAAATTTAATACACCACACTAATCATATTTTGGATATAATCCAGGAAAATGAAAATATATTTCTGATTTTGGCCACCAGAGGGTGAGCATATTACTTATTATTCATAATATTCATTAGAGAGAGAGAGAGAGACCAACTGATAATATTTCTCAGCACTGGGTTAAGTCCTTTATGATTTCTAAGACTGCTTTGGTGAAATATATTGTATATTAAGGATCTCTCTATACACGGGCATATTTACCCATCCTATTAGAGAATATATAAAAATTATTTCTAACTTGTGAGGTAGATACTAAGTCTTCTGCTCTTAAAAAGATACTGACTGGGCGCCTGGGTGGCTCGGTCGTTGGGCGTCTGCCTTCGGCTCAGGTCATGGTCCCAGGGTCCTGGGATCGAGCCCCGCATTGGGCTCCCTGCTCTGCGGGAAGCCTGCTTCTCCCTCTCCCACTCCCCCGGCTTGTGTTCCCTCTCTCGCTGTGTCTCTCTCTGTCAAATAAATAAAATCTTTAAAAAAAAAAAAAAGATACTGACTCACTTCTTCGTGAAGTTACAAGTATAAGGACATATTAAGATGGCCCTGCTAGCTTTATCTAGAAGTATAAAGCCTATCTTTGCTACTCAGCTTAGCTTGATTTCTGGGCAAAAAAAAAAAAAAAAAAAGAACTATGTAACGATTGGAGGAGAAAGATGGCAAATAGTGGAAATGATGTAGGGAAAGCAGATGAAATTAATGTGAGAGACAGTTTGTGGGGGGAGGACTAGGAATGGTTGCTGTAAGTCTAAGAGGTAAAGGATTTTGGCTGCTTAAAAGTATCTGTACTTGTTAACTATGGCTAGTTTTGTCTAAGGAAGATGAAGAATAGGATTCTTAGTTCTTATGCCACTTATTCACAAGTGGCTTTTATTTGTGATATTTGACCAAAGTCAATTTGTACTTTAAAAATTGATTCTTGGGGCATCTGGCTGGCTCAGTCCGTAGAGCATGCCACTCTTGACCTCAGGGTAGTGAGTTCAGGCCCCACCTTGGGCATGGAGACTACTTTATAAAAAAGTAAAAATAGGTTCTCTATTTTTTTTTTAATATTAACAGTTCTAAAGATATGTATTAAGGGGCAACTGGGTGGCTCAGCCAGTTAAGCATCTGACTCTTGATTTTGGCTCAGGTCATGATCTTGGGGTGGTGAGATCGAGGCCTACATCGGGTTCTGCGCTTAGTGGAAAGTCTACTTGAGATTCTTTTTCCTCTGTCTCTGCCCCTCCCCAAACCCACCCCTGCGTTCACGTGCACTCTCTCTCTAAAAATAAATAAATCTTAAAAAAAATAAAATAAAGATATATATTAATGTTAAAAAGAAGACCTACATATTATAAAGGGGTTAGAGGTATGGTTCCATTCCCCCAAAATAAAGAAAAACATTTTTCAATTTCTTTTAGACACAATTGATAAATATCGAACATTTTATACATATTCTTAATTTTACTCTTTCCTTTGCAATTTAACATAAGATCAACCAACTTAAATTCATTGCCAGCTTAATTTCAGTCATCTGAATGAGGCTTATGTAAATACAGTACTGCTGGTTATAGAATACCAGTGCTATAAGCTTTCTAGCAATTTCAGATATGAGTATGCAGCATTGCTAAAAAGTAAATTTCTCTGTGCCTTTTTCTAATATCTGTTGCAAAAAATTGGATTTAGCTTTTGAAAGAATTGTTTTCTTACAAGGGAGTAAAAATTTAGATGACTAGTCTGGTAAATGGTACACAGGGATATCCAATTAGCAAGTTTCTATTACATATTGCGTTAGTTATAATAGAGAAGTAGTAGACATGATCTCTGACCTCAGAAAAAGAAAGAGCTGAGAAAATGTGTTACATATTAGCCTATTAAGGAATAATATTAAGTCTTAAATTAGTAAGCACTGATCATTAAGCATAAACTACAGGTGAAGGCATGGGAACAAAAAAGGAGGGGAAGGCTTGCCCAACTTTTTTGAGGGGAATAAGACTCCCAGAAGATTGAAGGAATGAAAGAGGGTAGTTTGAAGCTAAGTAATGCTTTGTTTTTAGTCATACAGTACAATGTATTTCAAAATTTAATAATGTAAAATAAAGCACATTTTAATAACTATTAAAGGAAATGAAGCATGAGCTTTAAAATCTGGAGAAGTACTACACTAAGGTATTAGACTAAGTTTGATAGAACAAGTTTGGACAAGTTGGAAAGAC